ACGACGAGCTCGCGTCGCTCGCGCTCCCCAAGCTCGACTCCTACGCGTGCGCAAGGCTCCTGCAGCGCTGCATCTCTCGTGGTGACGCCCGCGCCGGCCGCGCCGTGCACGCGCGCGTCGTGCAGCGCGGAGGGGTGGCGCAGCTGGACACCTTCTGCGCCAACGTCCTTCTCAACCTCTACGCGAAGCTCGGCCCACTAGCCGCCGCGCGTAGGCTGTTCGACGGAATGCCGGAGCGGAATATGGTGTCCTTCGTCACGCTCGTGCAGGGCTACGCTCTGCGTGGGGAGTTCGAGGAGGCCGCGGGGCTGTTCCGAAGGCTGCAGAGGGAAGGCCACGAGGTGAACCATTTCGTGCTCACCACGATCCTGAAGGTGCTGGTCGCCATGGATGCTCCTGGGCTTGCCCGCGGCATCCACGCCTGTGCGTGCAAGTTGGGCCATGACAGGAACGCCTTTGTGGGGACAGCACTGATTGATGCCTACTCGCTTTGTGGGGCCGTGTGTCATGCGAGGTGCGTGTTCGATGGGATCGTCAGGAAGGATGCTGTCACTTGGACGGCCATGGTTTCTTGCTATTCTGAGAATGACATTCCAGAGGATGCGCTTAATACTTTCTCCAAAATGAGGATGGCAGGTGCGAAGCCTAACCCTTTTGTGCTTACCAGTGTGCTCAAGGCCGCAGTTTGCCTGTCATCTGCTGTGCTAGGCAAGGGCATCCATGGTTGCGCAGTCAAAACACTTTATGATACTGAACCTCATGTTGGTGGTGCCTTGCTTGATATGTATGCCAAATGTGGAGACATTGAGGATGCCCGCACTGTTTTTGAGATTATTCCTCATGACGATGTCATACTCTGGAGCTTTCTGATCTCCCGTTATGCTCAGAGCTATCAGAATGAACAGGCATTTGAGATGTTCCTCAGAATGATGTGGTCTTCTGTTGTGCCAAATGAGTTTAGTTTGTCCGGTGTTCTGCAGGCTTGTGCTAATATCGCCTTTTTGGATCTGGGCGAGCAAATTCATAACCTTGTTATAAAGTTAGGCTATGAGTCTGAATTATTTGTTGCCAATGCACTCATGGATTTGTATGCGAAATGCAGAAATATGGAAAATTCACTTGAGATCTTGTTGGCATTACGGGATGCCAATGAGGTGAGCTGGAACACAATTATTGTTGGCTATTGTCAGTCTGGTTTTGCAGAAGATGCTTTGAGTGTGTTCCAGGAAATGCGTGCTGCTCATATGCTCTCAACTCAAGTTACATTCTCTAGTGTGCTCCGGGCTTGTGCAAATACAGCATCCATGAAACATGCTGTCCAAATTCACAGCTTGATTGAGAAATCCACATTCAACAATGACACAGTTGTTTGCAATTCACTGATTGATACATATGCCAAGTGTGGATGCATTAGGGACGCTCTGAAGGTATTTGAATCTATAATACAATGTGATGTAGTCTCATGGAATGCCATAATCTCAGGATATGCTCTCCATGGACGAGCCACGGATGCTCTGGAACTTTTCGACAGGATGAATAAAAGTGATATAAAGCCAAATGATGTCACCTTTGTTGCTCTCCTGTCCGTCTGCGGTAGCACAGGCTTAGTCAATCAAGGACTCTCTCTGTTTAACTCTATGACGATGGATCATAGAATCAAACCATCTATGGAGCATTACACTTGCATTGTTAGGCTTCTGGGACGTGCTGGCCATCTAAATGATGCTCTAAAGTTTATTGGGGATATTCCTTCAACACCATCTCCTATGGTTTGGCGAGCCTTGCTTAGTTCATGTGTAGTCCATAAGAATGTAGCTCTGGGAAGATTTTCTGCAGAGAAGGTGCTTGAGATTGAACCCCACGACGAGACAACCTATGTCTTACTGTCAAATATGTATGCTGCAGCCGGAATTTTGGATCAAGTTGCTCTTTTGAGGAAATCAATGAGAAACATAGGTGTAAAGAAAGAGGCTGGTCTTAGCTGGGTTGAGATCAAGGGGGAAGTTCATGCCTTTTCAGTGGGATCAGCAGATCATCCAGATATGCGGTTGATAAATGCAATGCTGGAATGGCTAAACCTGAAGGCTAATAGAGAAGGTTATGTTCCAGACATAAACATAGTGTTGCATGACGTGGACGAGGAAGAAAAAGCTCGCATGCTATGGGTGCATAGTGAGAGGCTGGCTTTAGCATATGGCCTTTCTATGACACCTTCTGGCCATCCAATACGGATAATGAAGAATTTGCGTTCCTGCTTGGACTGCCATACTGTGTTTAAGGTTATATCTAAAATAGTTCAACGGGAAATCATCGTTAGAGATATCAATCGCTTTCATCACTTTGAGGAAGGAATATGCTCCTGTGGTGATTATTGGTGATGTTCTATTGTTCATTGATTTATTTGAACATAGGATAGCATATCCTACATAGTGCTATCAGTACAATTTTGTAGGAAATCTTCTTTCCATGACAAGAACTCCAAGATATACATGCATGCTTGATTTTCTGGATGGACTATTCTGAACTGATATGTTGCTTGATCTAAAGAGTACTGCTGCTGATGTCCTGTTTGGCAAACGGTGGTGGGGACCATGGCTTGGCAACGGCACTGAAGCTCATTCCTAGTGCGGCTTCCACACCTCTGCCGCCCAAGGTCTTCACTCCCATCGCCGACTCCTACTATCTCCAATCCCGCCGCAGCCTCTGCAGTCTCCGGACCCACCACTTCCACCTGCCGCCGGACCCACCACGTCGTGGCCGGTAGGCCGACCAGAGACTCCACGGTGGCAGGCAGGTCCATCCTGGATTTTTGATTGGCCGCTGCGACCATCACTGCAGCATTAAGGACGACGAGGCTGAATTAACAATGCTGCTGTGATACTTGCAGTGGGGGAGCTGAATGAGCGGTTAATGAATCATATGTGCTATTACATCTGCAGTTACCCATAGGGATATATTTAGAGCAGTTCTCAGCTAAGGATATGCTGTCTCTCTCTGCTATAACTGTTTAACCATAGGTTGCTGTTGCTGCTTTAATTTTTGAGGTTCACAGAAGTCCAATGGCTGAGACTACAAGGGAGGAAGTTCGTAAACTAGGAACTCGAGGTAGTGTATTTCACTTGATGCCATTTCTCTCCTGACTCGTACAAATATGCTATGGTAACTATGGTAACTGATCTGTACCTTCCTTATTCGCTACTCCATTAGAGCACAGGACAATCATGAAATGTAATGTCTCCCTATCATGTAAGCCAGAGAAACAAAAAAATTCTGGTAATTTTAGTTTCTTTGAAGAAAACTTATATATATAGTTAATAACATACATGGAGATACCTGTATATCTGAGGATATTGCATAAGAAATAAATTAATGTCTTTAATGTAGTTCGCCAGAAATTGATCATGATCTATACCTAATATATCATATGATTGTTGTGAATGTACTGCTCGCAATATATTAGCCTTTTTTATGTGCTAGAGCCTGGAATATAGTTGGCTTTAATGACAGTGAGATTGAAGTCGTTGGGATGATGGATCAACTAAAAGGTATTTCACAGCGCTGTCAAATTCACTAAGCACTATTGTATATGTGAGCTACCATCAGGAGTTTGTTGTGTTAAAAGAATCAACTGTTGCTGAATGCTGGACATGATCTATTTTATTTGTCAATCTATTGAGGCTTCTCCAGCTTAATCATTTCCTTTTACCACCTCACCTCAGCCTTACTTAACTAATCTGCAGCTTCATGCCTTACCTATATTTATTTTAACGATCTGTTGTTTCAGGTTAGGCCTTATGAAATATATGTTGTTTGTTATGAAGATGATGGTGCCTCACTAGATAATCGAACTGCCTTTAATGGTGCTTAGCTTGGAGCCTGTTGATGGCAACAAAGTGGATCTACATGATTGTGCAAAGGTATTCTCGACTGTTGTCTGTCATTATTGTTAAGTATTTTGATCACTTACACTATGGTGGTCGTGTGGTTCCGCGACCTCGGCAGCAACACGCTGCATCCTCTTTAGTCCCTACCTCGAGCTCTTCATAAGTGGAGCTAATAAATCCTATAATATTTTTAGAGTTATAGGGCCAAGTCCCTGCCTTAACCAAGACAAAAAACGTTTTACAGCATCCAGATAGATGGACCACATCTTACCGTCTAGAAAAGAAAACATAAACAGTTTAGAACCCAACTAGAAACATTACACGAAACCAGAACCCAGCCTCGCTCACATCTCCCAGGATACCCCTAGCCTCGAAGGATGTGGACAACAATTCTTCTGCTTCGGTCGGCAGGAAGTTTTCTTTCCAGTTTGTAGTGTTCAGAAATAAGAAGCTTCTCCCTGTTTTCTCTTGCATCAGCATTCAGCAAGTCAATCTTGCTGGGCTTGCTGCAATTCTTCTCAGTTCGGCAAGTTTAGAGTTGAACTTCGGATGGTGGTCCGGTGGGCAGAGTACCAACTACCCCGGCCCTGACCCATGACCGCAATTTTCAGAAGCATCCCTGTTCGCTTATCTTATAATCCGTGTTTTTCGGCTTGTTTTTTTCAGCCGGAACAGTGTTTTTCTCTCACAACAAATCAGCCAGAACAGTGTTTCGGCTTGTTTTTTCAGCGAAGCGAACGGGGCCAAATGACTTCAAATCGTTTCAAGTATATCCTCCTGAAAACACAAACCGTTCCTTAGTTTCCAAAGTCCCCAAGGGCTGCAGCAGAGAAGATATTAGCAACTACAAACTTTTTGACAAATCCTATAATATGGATTCGCCGTGACATGTGGTTCACATTTTCATTTAGAAGAACACAAGTAAACATATTCCACAGACCATCTTGTCGTTACATATTCCATTCCTTGCATCTTTAATTAGTACACCTACTTATCATATTATAGGAAAAGAATGACATAACAAAATATGTATTTATATACATGCAAGGAAATCGTGTCATTTCTAACTATATACATGTCCGATTTCAGATCTGAACTTTTGAGTGACTGGCTTCTTCATGCCTTTTTGCGAGGAGTTGTATCGCTGTATCCAATGCCCTTCCGTTTTGTCCGGAAGATCATGTAGACAAAGCTTGATAGGAACGCCATCCCTAGAGGCAGGTTCTTGAGAAGCTCGCTGGTGCTGTTGCTAGCGTTGGGGAAGAAGCACCTCTGGAGGCCGGCGTCGCTGAAGGCCACGGTGAGGAACACCACGGCGGCGACGACGGCATGCACGTAGTCCAGCGGCCGAAGGCGAAGTTTCTGGATCTCGCCGAGCGCCCACTCCCGCTCCTCCTGCTCGCCCGAGAAGTTGAAGACGTTGAACCCGTGGGGCGTCGCCACGCAGTAGTAGAGCCTGCTGTCTCGGCCGACGACGCTGTCGGTGGAGGAGGAGGGAGAAGGCGGCGAGGACAGCGACCAGTGTGGCCGTGAGCCACTTGTTGACGGGATGGCACGTCCCGTGGTTGGTGAAGGACGGGGACAGCGCCTGGTACGCCACCACCGAGCCAGTCGGCAGGAGCTGCGCCAGGTTCGCCGCGCTTGACACCACCTTGTCCGCCACTGTCCGGTCTGCTGCCATGGTAGCAGAGCCGTCGTCCGCACCCTTTTGCACCGTCGGCGGTGCTCTGTCGTTGGTCTGAGCGCCATTAAGGTACTCTTTACTACTGTAACATGTGTGCTGGCTCTAGGTGTCTCTGGACTCTGGATCGCGCGTGTGGTCTTGTCCATTCGTGCGGAGAGTTGATGTTTATCATAGGTGAATCCTTGTGGAAGTTTGTTGGCGTGTTGATTTGTCTGCTAGTTCATGTGTTGCTCTCTGCTAGTTCATGTGTTGCTAAATGATAATGATAGGATGACAACGTCCGGGCAGACGGACCCGACCCATGCCGTGCCTTTACCCTGACCCTGGCACGCTTGCGTCCACATGCGTGGCTTATCAGCCATCGCTCCTCTCTCTCATGCCTCCAGCGCTACTCCCTCTCTCTTCGGTGTAGGCAAACGTCTTGGCACGACGGCGTGGCGGCCTCGGCGTGAGCGGGCTACGATGAGGAGGCCCGAGCGGCCCTTGACATGGTGGCGCAACGGCGCCGACGGCCCCGATCACGGGTGGACTAGCGCGGTAGAACCAGCACGAGTGACTCCCCAGCGGATCTGGCTCCCTCTCCCAGTCGTGCGGGAGCTGTCTCCTTGCCGTGTCATGTAGCCGCCGCCGCCGCCGGTCCACTGCCTCCGGTAAACTCCACACGCCAAGGACCCTCCATTCTCCCATGTAGCATGAAGATGTTGCGCTGCGTTGAAAGCGCATGTTGTAAGCATATGTTTCAGATGTATGTTGTAAGTTGCTTCGTATGAATGTTGCAAAAAGTAGATCGGGATGTTGCACATGTTGCAAAGTGTTTCAGATGAATGTTGCAAGCGTTTGTTCAAAATGTTTCATCTGTTTCAGACGTATGTTTGCTAGCGTTTTAATCTGGATGTTGCATATGTTTTATAAATATGTTGCAAGAGTATTTTTCAAATGTTGCAGTCTTATGTTGCAGCAAGTGTTTTCATGTTGCAAATTGTAAGTGTTTATCTAGAAGTTGCATAAGTTGCAATGGATATACATGTATGTTGCAAGTGTTTTATCTGGATGTTGCATATGTTGCAGTGGCTATACATATATGTTGTAAGCGTATGTTTCTAAATATTTCATCTGTTTCAGACGTATGTTGTAGCAAGTGTTTTATGTTGCAAGTGTTTTCGTTAGCGGGCATGGAAAGTGAGCGCAGGCAGAGGCGGTCTCGCATGCATGCGCAGCAACATGGCATGCGTAGGCGTGCAATAGCAAGCGCGTGTAGCAGGAGCATGCGGGCGCGTGCAGCAGTGGGGGTATGCAGCAGCATGCGCGTCAGGCAGGCAGGCAGGAATGGGCGTTTGGATGGGCCTGTCTGGGCGCTAGCCACTCCGCTCAAGAATGGATCGGACATGGAGGAACTTTCTGCTACTACCGGTCACAACCGGCGCTAACATTGAAATCTGCTTAATACGATTTGTGTGCTAGGCGAGATCTCTCCTTGGAATTACCTCTAGATTTTTATTGTGCTTTTATACCAATACCAAATTTTATAAGATGCTATTTTAAATAAGTTTATATATACACACAATTCCTCGTTATAGGAAATTTAATATCTCGAGTGTCGTGGCTCCAACCTAAAAAGATTGCTTATGCCATTGTAGTCATTCATTAAAAGTATAGCCTGCTAGGACCTAGAATGTTTTTAGGAAAACAATAAAGTAAAATTTTAAATAAATGCACAATAAGCACTAGAGTTTGAACTTAACATATGAATAAAAGAATAGCAACTACCAATAAGATCAAAAGTTGAAAGCTAATATACACAAGTGCTTATATACTTAGTTTTTAACTAATGCATATCTTGCATGCTAGGGAACAAATGCTAAAAGTTCTAACTAGAGGTCCACAATGAAACCTCCATGTTAATTGTCATGAGATGTGCTAGAAAAAAATTTAAATCATAGAAATTTTCACAAAAATCAGAAAGATACACGACCATTTATACTATGGTAGTACTTTATTTAAAAGTGCAGCTTATGATAGGAAATGTTTATTTTTCATAAAATCCAAAGGAGTTAACAAATATACATTAAGCACAAGGGTGTAAACTTAAATTAGTGAGAGAAAAATCTGTATGAACTGATAAGATCCAAATTTAAAATATAAAAACCTAGGTTTGTGCCGCCGTTTATTATGTCTCCTAAGATTTTAGCCCATGCGAAAGCACATGTTGATGGACTAGTTATAAGTTTCTAACAAAGCATATAATAGGAAACAACCTAGAATCATTATTTACTTAATTCAACCTTTCTAATGGACTGAACTCGGAAATAGTCAAAAGTACTATGTCAATTCCTTTTTGAAACGGAAGTGTAGCCTAGCTTCACCCCAGAGTCCCGACGTCGTCGCAATGGCACACTGCGTGGCTCAATGGCTCAATTCAATCAGCCACTAGTATATAGTGATTTAAATAAGGAAGCGTCGTACGTCGTGAACACTTAAAAGAAAGATTGTGGCTAGCACGAGGCCAGCGGCCCGTCACCTTTGACTCCTTCCTCCGTCCTCCCCGCGCGTCGCCATCCCCGACGTCTCCGGAAAGGCTGCAGGGTCGTCGCAGGTCACGATTCAAGGACGCGTGCGTGTACACCGCCGAGTACTACCGAAGTTTCTTTTGGTCCAAGCCTCCTGCACTGAACGGCTCGCGTCCTCGCGAGGATGGCCGGCAACACGCACACGGCACACACGCACGCGCACGTTGGTGGACTAGTTATTTTACTAGCAGTTACTCCCTACGTCCACGGCCGAACGATCCTCGTTTTTCAAAAAGTCAAACGTTTAAACTTTAATTAAATTTATATAAAAAAGTGTAAACATTTATGATATAAAGTAGTTACAAAATATATTTTTATAATAAATTTATTTAAAGATATAAATACTAATAATATTTACTATAAACTTAGTTAAACTTACGTTTCTTTGACCAACATATATATCATAATTGCATTCTTTTACGCATAGAGGTACGGTTGGACTGATCGAGAAAGGTTAAGTTGGCTGAATCGATCGATGCCGACGTTGGGCATTGGATCGGGCGAAGCCCCTCCAAGATCCGATTTTGTTTTTTCCCTCCAATTTCGCTGAGATTAGCCAAAATAACTATATAAATTTAGTGATTTAGCTATTTCTAAAATGAATCTTACTTAAAAAAAAATTAGACTACTCCAACAACATATCAAAAGACTCCATACTCAAAAACCTGTCACGTCACCCTAACTTCCGTCTTTTCGGATTGAAGCGACCTGGTCGTTCGTCTCGTACGGCGGCGCCTGGGAACTGGAAGTCATCTTCGTCAATTTGGAGCCTGCTAGCTAGCCCATGTGGAGGTGAAGAGCGCGTAGCTCATGTCCATGGCGCTCAGGTTGTAGGCCCAGGCCAGGTACGGGTAGATATTGATTTTTTTTTTTTAAACATTTTTTTGAAACTATTTTCAAATAGGACACTGTTTCATTTTTTTCTTCAAAACTAATACTTTTAGCCGCGCCAATTCGCATGGCGTGGCGAAATCACGTTGCCGCGCCATGCATGGGGCGCGGTAGGAGCGATGATGTGGCAGCGACTAGGGCCGTTGAACGTTAACGTGGCCAGGGCTACCACGCCGTGGATTTGGGCGCGGCACTGACGCGCCATGGAGGTTGGCGCGGCAATGCTCCCGCCAGCCACAACACTTCACATGACCGACCGCTCTCCGCAGCGCGCTTCCCCTGTTTTGTTCAGCCACGCACACGTGCGCCAGGCAACAAAGGGCACCTAAGATTCGCCGATGCGCCGATTGGGTTGGTAACGCAGTAATGCCCGCCCTGCCCTGCCGGCCGGCCCAGTACACAACACTCCCCCCTTCTCTCTCTCCGGGTCACGCCTCATGGAGGCGCGTGCAATGCGTGTGGTACTCATGATTTTTACTAGAACCCGTCATCAGAATTACGTATATTATTACTAGTGTTATGACGACACCAGTACCATATATCGGCGCACTAATCTTTTTTTTATGTTCATTCATCCTGCATGCACCAGACGAAACCATTGTTTATTTCTTTAGGAAGTACATGCATGACGATGGATGTTTTGTCACGCACAACTCGATTGATCAAATTCTTTTCTCTGTTCTTTTTGTTTAAAAATGTAGGAGCAGACTCCTACTTACTCCCACCGTATAGTATTATTACCTGTGCATGCAGTATGATCCGTCCTGTTTAAAACGTGAAAGTTTAGAGCCGGCCGGGCCAGTTTCAAATCTCCACGCCACGTCCTATTTTCCATGGAGAGTGTCATATTTGAAAATAGTTGCAAAAAAGTGTTAAAGATAAAAAAAATTCTAGATATTGGCCATCAGCGGCAACCCGGTGCGGGCCAGGAACTGCATCACGGGGCCCATGTACCCCTACGCCTCGCCGGTGAACTGCGCCGCCGACAGCGGGCTGTACACGCCCAGGATGGCCTGCGACACCGACGTCGTCACCTTGATGTGGCCCAGCTCGGCCGCCGCCAGCGCCACGTGCACGTTCTCCATGGCCGGCGCCAGGTTCTGCGCCGCGCCGCCGGCCACCTCGTTACCCACGACACAGACGGGTACGCCTGGTCGTTGTTGCGGTCCCACGACTCCGCCTCGCGCGGGAAGAAGGGGAAAGCGCGCGGGAAGGAGCCGCCTCGCAGGTGCAAAGGGCCAATGGTGAGCGGCACATGCTCTCTCCAGGTATGGAGACCGGAAGTCTTGGAGAGCCATTCATGTGAAGTCACGGTTTTCTACTGTCTAGTTCGATGGTCCGATTGGTCGCACGCACTGATCTCTACCTGTTTTGTCGTCAGCATATGATGATCGATATGTGCATCCCGGCGGCTGCTCAATAATCCATACCAAACTATCGTTTCTTCTTTCTTTATTATTTATTTATTATATATGATCTCGCAGCATGATGTGCGCTGAAAAGGCTCATCAAACGTGTCGCTGGTCTCACTATAACATGAGCACACAAATATTGTATAAATAAATTAAATGGCCGGATCACAAATCAAAAGTGACCACAGCAATCACGTCTCTGGGTGTGCATCAACATCCCATGCAAACTGTGTGAGTCAGGAGTAGTGCTCCAACACGCGAAAAACCCTCACGGCAACAAAAACGCCCGACTGGGACGACCATCATTGGAAGCATTGTTACAAGTTAGTACAACAAGCGAAATATTATCAAGCGCATTGCATGTTCGTAATGCAAGGATGCCACATCGTCATGAATCATGCATGATGTTGCACCAAGGTTTTTGGACTTTTTGTTCTTTGGAAGAATTTATTACTCTTTAGCAAAAAAAAAAAGGGTACAAATCCACCAGAGTGAGTACGTGTAATCCACTGATACAACTTCAACCATATTTCTCAAGATTCTACATTTCTTCAATGTTGCAGTGTATTTTTCCAAACATGTATTTATGAATGAACGAAAACAATCACATATCAAATCACCATGTACATAAAACCTACATACAAGTATAAAACCTAGTTTTCCTGCAAAAAGAAAAGCACAAAGTCTACAATAATATATTCTAAAAGGAACAAACTAATCTATAATATACAGGCCGGTCATGTACATAAGTGCTGTATAATATTCCAAATTTTGAATTGCATTCGAACCAACTAGTATGTCCTAAAAATAAACCATATCAGAACTTTTGAAACACCGGCCCCTCATGTTGCTGTTGCCTTTTGTTGCGGAGTGGTGTCGTTGTATCCGATGCCCTTCCTTGTGGTCGGGAAGATCAAGAACACGAAGCTCGACAGGAACGCCGTCCCGAGCGGGAGATTCTTGAGAAGCTCGTGGGTATTTTCACCAGCACCAGGAAAGAAGCACTTCTGCAGGCCGACGTCGCTGAACGCGACGGTGAGGAACACGACGGCGGCGAAGAGCGCGTGCACGTAGTCGCGCGGGCGGAGCCGGAGCCTCCGGAGCTGGCCGACCGCCCACTCCCGCTCCTCCTCCTCGCCGGAGAAGTTAAACACGTTGAACCCTCGCGGGGTGGCCACGCCGTAGTAGAGCTTCCCGTCGCGGCCGACGACGCTGTCCGTGAAGGAGAAGAAGAGGGAGAAGCCCGCCAGGACGCCGACCAGGGCCGCCGTCAGCCACTGGTTGGCCACCGTGCAGGTGCCGTGGTTGGTGAAGGACGGGGACAGCGCCTGGTACGCCAGCACCGTGCCCGTCGGCAACAGCTGCGCCAGGTTGGACGCGCTTGTCATCACCTTGTCTGCCATTGTCCCGGAGCCTGCCGATGCTGCCATCACCCGCATGGTCGTCGGTGAGTCGTTTTCGGCTCCGCCCTTGGGCGTCGGCGGTGCTATGGCGTTGCTGGTCTGCGGCGAAGACATCTGGATCCTCACGCTAGACGGCTGAGGAGAAGATGCCATCGTTAGTGTGCTCGGGGTTTCTGATCTCGATGTGGTAAGGTCCGTTCGTACGGTAGAGTAGCTGCTTATATAGGACATTATCATCGTGGAATGATTCCAAGGTGAGCTAGCGCGTTGATTTGTCTCTACTTGAAAGGTCTTGTTGTGAAGAAGAAGGGCTATAGTTGCATGGACTTCAACTGCCCAAGCGTGGTCATCCAGTCATCATCCCTTGATAGTCACGATATTTTCCAACCATCTTACATGGAATTCTGTCCAGTTTTTTTTTTAAATAATCAACTTGCAGTCTACAGTGACTTGCAAAATGACGTTTTGTATATCATGCCACGAATGCCATATTCCAGGAACGTGAGGAAGAGGGAAGACCTCAAGAAGAGGATAATCTCCAACTTTGACTTGCCAATTTTATTTCTCATGAAAATAGCATATGACCGATCGATCGAAATACTTGAAGACTCCACCTTTGTCAACCATAGTAAAAAATTTCTTTGAGTAATTGTACATGAAAATCTATCAAGTTTGGCTTTACTAAATCCTAATAAATTAAGAGTTTTGCTATTTTTTTGTCGCCTGTTTTTTTGCTTTGAATCTGTCAGATTTTGGGCCATTGGATGTGTTTCAAGATTGGTGCTGAGGTTCGGGCGTGTGCTCCCATAGTGGATTGTAGAACCGACGCATTCCAAACCCGAAAACCCGTTTGAAATCCGCGCCCGTCCTTTTGCTTATTCCACCGACCGGTTCTACTCCCTTTCCCCAATCCCTTTGGAGAAATTTCAATATTTGACATCCAATTCATCTGCCTCGCAACATTTGATATCCAATTCGTCTGTCTTTTGAAATTTGACACTGGGGTTGCGAATTGTTTCGATTCAAGGGATTTCAACAATTTTCTCGCATTTTTCCTTTTCCTTTAATCTTTTCACCTCTCCCGACCAAATTTCGGACCAAACTACCCCTGGCATACTGGAACATATCGATTGGATTCGATTGGGAGCTCTCCGTCCGCATCGCTGGTCCGTCCGCGTCGCGAGCTCAGACGCGGCTCGATGAGTGCCCGCCCCGTCCGTGCCCCTCCGCCGCCGGTGAGCCCCCTCCGCCGCCGGCGAGCCCCCTCCGCCCCTTCGCCGCCCTCCCCCTCCCCTCCCCGACCACCCTCCGCCTCACGACTTGGCACTCCCTCCGTTGCAGTAGCCAGGCCCAGCCACCTGACGACTAGGGTTTCGGCTGGGTGCCAGGAAGAAGGCACATCGTCGAACTGCAGTGGTCGATGCCATGATTCCCTTTGAGGTCCCTCCAGGGTAAGGCACAATCCTCGATTCTTCTTCAGTTTGATCTCTATTTCATAGTTCATAGATTTTGGGGGCACAAGCTTATTCTGTGTCTCTTTTATTTTTTTATTGATACACGGTTGAATCAATGCGAAAGCTACATTTAGATTGTGTGTTCAGATTTCTTAGTTTACCTCAAAGCTCAATGATGGCTGCTCTGTTGATGTGCCACAAAAATATGATGACTGGACTGTGGATCATCAATGCTATACTTTAGACATGCTAGAAAAGGATTTGGCAGCTAGAATAAACTGGGGTAGCGGCCAGCAGCTGGTAGTATCCGAATTTGACATGAGTCGAGATGGAGAAAGGAAATTGTTGAATGATACAGATCTCTTAATTGCTTTCGCTGAAGGAAAGAATGAAAAGAAGATGTTTTTGTTTGTTGCTATTGTGGACAAACCCATGGAGATTATTTTTTACTCAGTTGTTTCAGAGGCAACCATCAGTAATGTGGCCCATGATGATGCTATACCTCAAATAGATTTCAACAATGATGAAGTGGTTTCTCATGAAATCGATTGGGACAGTCTGGAGATAATTCCTTTAACTGCAGACCAGATTGCTGCGCCTGTCCTATGATAGATGAGGATACAGTGTATGAGTTTCTTGGTCTTAGAGCAGAGGATGAGAGAGCTGAGCAAGCTAGGGCAGCGGCTGTTGCAAAGGAAAATCCTCCTGTGCCTATTGATTTGGACCCTGCTGATGAGTTGTTGGTTGACGATCATGTGCCTCGTGAGGACTCGGTGCTTTATGACAGAGAAGACCCTCCTATGAAAGTAGGAACCGTTTATACTAGTATGCCTAAATTCAAGGCTGCAGTGAGACATCATGCTATTATGAAACAATTTGAACTTGGAACAGAGAAATCTTGTAAATCTTTTTTCAGAGGCTATTGCAAAGCTGATGGTTGTTCATGGACTATTGTAGTAAGGCTGATGCGTGATAACCAACAAGTCAGGGTACTAACCTTGTTCTAACTTTTGTTCAGATGCAACATGCTTACTCAATGTACTGTTTAGTAATGTTCCACATATATGCTTATATGCTTGTTTCATTTTTACAGGTTACATTGAACAAAGAAAAGCATTTTTGTCCATCTACTGGTAGAGTGAGGACCAAAATGGCATCGTACCATTGGGTAGCAGAGAAGGCAATCCCTTTTCTAAAGAAGGATCCTAACATGGGTTCAAAGAAATTGCAAGAGGAGTTGGAGGAAAAATCAAGTGAAAATTGGGTACTCAACTATGCATCTTGGTAGAGATGTGGCAAGAGAACAAATTTTTGGTACATGGGATGAAAGTTTTGGATGTCTATTCCACTTCAAGGCAGAGATTGAGCTCAGAATGCCAGGAAGTGCTATAGAGATAGATGTAATCAATCATAAAACTGGTGTATATTTTCACAGATTTTTTTGTTACTTGAAACCTAGCATTGATGATTTCCTAAATGGTTGTAGGCCATTTTTGAGTATGGACTCCACAACTCTCAATGGTAGATGAAATGGCCACCTACCTTCAGCTACAACACTAGATGGACACAATTGGATGTATCCAGTTGCATTTGAATTTTTTGATGGTGAGACTACTGATAACTGGATTTGGTTTATACAGCAGCTACAGAAGGCAATTGGGAATCCACCTCACCTAGCTATAATTTTAGATGCTTGCAAGGGCCTAGAGAATGCAATAAAGACAATGTACCCTTGGGCTAAGCATAGAGAATGTTTTATCCATCTGATGAAGAATTTCAGAAAGCGTTTTCAAGGGCCTGCATTTGGAGAATGTATCCTGTAGCTAGAACTTTCCAACCAGATTACCATGAGTATCTCATGAACAAGATGTATGCAACAAATAAAAATGCCGAGCCATGGTTGAAAACCAATCACAAGTTAAAGTGGACGAGGAGCAAATTCTCTGAACACATAAAGTGTGATCATATCACCAGCAATGTTGCTGAGGTTTAGAACAACTGGGTGAAGGATATTAAGGACCTTCCTATAGCTGACCTTGCTGACACCCTTAGGTCCAAGTTTATGGAACTGTATGCAAGGAGGAGGAGAATAGGTGAGAAATTTGAAGGCCATATAATGTTTCCAATTGTTGTTCGCCAACTACATGCACTGAGTAGGCAGTTGGGCCACTTGAAGATCAAAGATGGTGGAAATGATGAAGCAGAGGTGATAGAGGTTACTGATTCACAGAAGATCATAAGACATGGGGTCAATATTAAAAACCACATATGCACCTACAGTGTAACACCCTAGGTGTTTGGCTTCCACTATTGCATTTTATTTCATAAACATGTGCATCATCTATCTCATCATGCCTTTGTTACTGAAACATGCATATGCAACATTTTCCAATTGTGTATGTTTCCTACTTGAGTGTTGTGAATAGTAATGGTGTAACATATGAATGCAACCTGAGTTTCTTATATCTTGAAACATGGCAACATAGTAGTAATGTGACAAGTATAGAATAACAACAAAGTCATGCAACATGTGAACCATTGCATTGCAACATATGAGTGAATTGCTTGTTTTAGTTGCTTTATCACATGTGATCATTAAAGGTTGGTATAACAATTTGGTAAAGTGGTTGATCATGGTCTATTACACCTTAACTATACTTAGGTTACTTGTTGGGACATTGTTCATGTAGATCAAAATGACCAAAATGCCCTCAAGTGGAGGTTTGACTTGAATTGACCCTTGGAGTGTCACTGTTTGACTGTTTTAAAAGACCAACTTAGAAATCTTGCATGGTTGTACACTCTTTACAAAAGTTGTAGCTAATTTATTAAGGAACAAAAGTTGTTTTATAACCAACTCATGAAAATGTGTGGAACATGCTCAAACATGGCCCACAAGTTATAAGTTCATGCTGATTTCACTGAAAAATTTGTCTAAGTCTTAAACTGCAATTTTAGTTGGATCAGGCCAACTTGGGCTTCATTTAACTGCTGATCCATGGCGAATTAGGGAATGGTCCTTGAAGAGAAATTGTAGATGGATGGTAGACCTACATTTTTCATATACACCATTTTTTGCAAAGGTGCAGTAGATTAGCCGTGTTGACACGTTGAAATAACATTATCAGTCGGTTTTCTTCGTCTGAATGGATGCTACAGTGGCTGACCAATTTCAGAAAACGCCCGACGCGTGTGTGCCGCACGTCGCCGGTCGCCTGAGCATGCTGCCACGCGCCGCGTGCCTCCTGGCGCTGCTGGCCGTGACAAGAGCACCCCGCGCGCCTGCCCGACGCACTCGCCGCGCCATTTGCTTTTCCTTTCTCCTTCCCCGCGCGCTGCGCCAAGCCACAGCAGCCGTCCGCCATTACCGACCGCTCGTCGTCGTCATCGTGCGCGCTCGCCACCACGAAAACGCGTTGCCCAGCCCGCCTGTAGCCTCGCCGTAGTCTTCTCTACCTTCTCCACCCCACCGTCGGTCCAATTGCGCCGTGGTAAGGGAAAAATCACAGCTTCGTCCCACCGCGGCCATGGCTGTTCTCGCCGGCGTTGTTGCTCCACGCGAACAACCACCACCGTGACCCTCCCATCCCCTCCTCTGCCTCGTGCTAGATCCTAGGTGCACTGCTGAAGCTTGTAGAGCCTCACGTTCGAGACGTAGCGCCGTAGCCTTCGCCGGAGCCGGACATGCCGCGGCCGTGC